AAGCGACGAAATATGCCAACATACCTTGGTCTGAATGCATCGAGCAGTTGGTCTTTGAGACTATTCGATTATAGTATGGCCTGCTTGTTTTCTTACTGCTGTTCGATGTTCAAGATAGCGATGAGACGGACGATTCTTGTTGGGGTGGAACAGTGAAGGACAAGAAGTTCCCTATAAATAATCGTTTATTGATAGCTTTGTGCGGGCATGGTAATGAAAATCATTTCTTAAATTTGATGGCAGTCCATGAGTACCCATTCATGAAACAATGCCCATTATTGTCATAAGGGTATCTAATTTATAGTACTATTTCTGACACTCATAGACAAGCACAAAATCTGTTAATCACAGCATGACCTTATGGATAAACGAGTTGCACTACATGGCTTAAAAATCCATTTAGTGTGATACTCTGGGTCTTCATTATATATGGCTTAAAACTATGATTTAACCTATGCAAAAGAAGGTGCGTTGAGGGGAAAAATTTCATGCCACTGGTTCGACGAAAATACGGGTATCAAGCAGAAGTATGTAACGTTCACTTCTGCATTCACGTTGCATCTGAGCGTAAAATGACACAGAACTAGATCATTAGGTAACCAGTGAGAGTCGACCGGAATAACACTAAATGACCGTTCCATAAAAAATTCTAATGTTATGACAAATTGCCCTGTTCGTCATCTTCAGTCGTTTTCAAAGTTTCGAGCCTAAGTGAGCAATATTCTGTGCGCAGTCCCGAAATTCCTCAGGATGAAATTTTGCCCTCAGAGGTAAACTAAATGATGGAGGACAGGAACCATTGGAGGTTTCCTCGAATGGTTGAATGGGTGAATAGACGAAGGCGTGAATTAATGAGCAAATGAATAAAGGTGTGAACGAATGACCGAATGAATCAACGAACGTACGCATTGCGGATTTTGTCATGCAGAAACTGCGATAAAGTTGAATGACAAAGCTACTAAGATACGGTTGGTTCTACAGCAGTCATATAAGGGCATGAAGCCCGAAAATAGGTAAAGTGGAAAACAGAAAGAAATAAATGTAATGCCGTTCAGAAAGACATGCAGAGTCTTGCTAATAACGGATAAAGGAAAGAGGAAACGGTTAAAAGCCTTGACAAATATGTATGCATATTAAACGAAGCTTTCAGATGCACAGCGGTATTTCTTCTTGAGCACAAAGAATAGTCGTAATTTTGAGACATGATGTTATCAGTCATAGTCTGTTAATAAAGTGATTAGCAGCGATCAGTTTCTAAAAGAAACAAACTGGCAACTTTAAACTGTGGTGCTTCTACTTCATGCAAATAGTGTTGCCAGCCTTGACATCTAGGAAGAGTTTCCCTGGTAACGCTTTGCAGTGGTTTGTTGCTGATGTTTGCGATTGCAGCTATTTTATGCGTGCTTTCAGGACCAAGAGGTGAAATGGGACTCAAAGGTCGTGATGGAGAAAACGGAGTATGTCCTACTTACTGTGCGAACGACGGAGGAGCTTTTCATCCTCGAAGGGTCGAAGAGAAAACTATAGAGAACGAAGAAGCTAAAAGTTATTTTGTGAAGTGAATGATTTTTATCATCAATTTATTGTGTACTTTTAGTTCTAATCAAAGTAAGCTATGGGTAATAAATAATTTCTAGGGCTCATGCCTCTATGAGTAATAAATTTTTCAGTGATGAAGTTGAATCATGTCACAAAAAAATGTCACCGTAAACCTACGAACGCGTAAAATATTGCAAACGTCGTCTTCAGTTCAGAATGTAACACTACAATAAAAAAAATTTACTCTAAACATGTGGATTTAAATTAAAATTTATATTCAAATCCGTCAATGCGCGGAAGAAATTTGAAATCAATTGGATACCGATGCCTGGACAACTGATCCTTAAAGAGCTTGTAGTACACGTTTATCTCTAAATTATACATTGGTATTTTAAAATTTATTAACGCCATGCAAGAAGATGGTAAATTCTGCTTTCACTGCAAACATACATGCAATATATATGAACAAGAAACGATTATTACACGATTCCTGTACAATGTAAGGTTCGAATAAAGGAAAATCTAGTCCTCTTCGCCCATGCATGCGGTGCCGCGATCCCCGGGCTTGCTAATTTCCCAGCCTTCATTAAGTTGATTGTTGTTGACGCACAGAGCACAACAAAAAACATAATAAGTAAACAAAGCATACCGGGTGCAAAGGGACAGGTTGTGCAATTTGAGAGGGAACGACAAAGCACAACCAATCCTTGATGGAGTAAGCGTCGCCCCATGGCGGCAAAGTCAATCGATGCGACCAATGCATAGATATACCGGATGTTTACTCAGCTAACGACTGGAGATGATTTCAAAGTCGATCAGCAGCTAGCCTTTTGGTTTCTGTGAGCAATATCAATATTACATCGCAACTTTAGCTGTTTCAACGTGGCAAATGATCGAGGAGAATAGAGTAAGATGAGTTTGACATTTATCTTGAGTTGCTTCGATTTTTTTGCGATTTCTTTATCGTCTTCTTTTAAATGTTCGTCATCTTAGATACGTACATGTAAAAGTTATAGTGCTGAATCATATTCTAGTCCATTTTTACTATTTGGTAAATAGTAGTGAATCATAGTAGGAGAAGTAGATTCGCAATACCGTCTACGATTCTGGGGCTCGCAAATCGTCAAACTTTATGCCTACAAACAAATTGTCCTCTGAAAGAATGCTGACCCTGGTCATGAAGAGTATTTCATTCTGTGGTGATGGCCGCTCATCTCCCTGGCCTGAAGTACACAGAAGAATAATATGGGGAGTGCGCTCCGTCATCTGACAGCTGCGAAAGTCGGCCTCTACTTATTTTCCCTTAACTCCTGCAGGTCAAAATTTATGAGGACATATCACATACGGCTAATTTACTAGCGGAAATGAAAGGCGAACCCATGGAGGAAATGTACGAATTTAAGCTTCTCTCCTCCATCATCTTCTGTGAGGACACAATCGCGGAAGAGTTCAGTAGGAGGATTATCCTAGCCTCCGTGCTTCTGGAAATATGTGCAATATTTTGGCTGAGAAAAGCTCATGTCCACCACAAAAATTCGCCTCGTCTTTTCTCTGTCAAATCATTGTTATTGATGAGACAGCTGTTTTAATGATGGAGCATGGACGACGGTTGGACCGCCTGTTGCGGCGTTGTCTTTGACGCATGATGAGGGTTAAATGTCAGTACCACGCAGAGAATGACCATTCTGTTTCAGGCACAATTAATCCAAGTAGATGTGGAAAATGAGGTTGCCCTATTAGATGAACTGATTCAGTATAAGCTGCTACTCAAGCCAATGAGGTACTCGTTATGGAAGCCGATGCACGGTACAGGTCTGTCAATGGACCAGAATGAAACTCGAGGGGGGGGGGATAAGGTAGTGACAGATTTGCTTTTGAGCGGAATACTTCCTAGTACGCGGCAGTATTTGGTGCAAATGTTTTCAATGGCTGACATTACAACCGACATCACAGACCAGCAACGTTCTGCTTACGCAACAAATACACAGATGCACCACTGCTCTTTCAAATGGACCTTATTCTGGCCACTTGTATGGGGCATCAGACTAGTCCAGCTAATATCTAGCATTGATGACCATAAGAAAGGGCGGATAAGTATTACGTCTTAGAAAGAGACAGCTTTTCATTCAGTTTCGCATTCATGATTATGAACTGGTCTGACTCCTGCTACAACGCTGGTTTGGCCGGTCGAGGTGTACCAGCACTACCTGACAGAATTTCTCCAATTACAAATTTATTGCTTTCTCCATATCGATCGATAATGCATCCGATAGCAGCGCTTATTCTATGATTATAACTTAACGTATAATTGACAGTACCTAAATGTTCTGCTTTTCTACACATGGTTCTAAAGTGTTCCGCTAACTTCGCTTTAAAGTCCTAACTGCTGACCGACAAATGTACCATTGCAAGATGATGGGCAAAATAGCCGTTGTCTGGAAGTCTTTCCATTGATCATTTTCACAATGCCTGGAACCATTCAATCTTTCGAGAAAAAACACTTAATTTTTGTCCAGTAGTACTTTCTCACATTAGTCGCTACATATAGACGATTGTATTGCTTGTAATGCATTTCGAAATCTTCCGTGAGCGCGGATGAATAAGACAGGACGATTAGCCAACTGTCTCAGTACACGGATTAATTTTCTGCAGTTCCAAGGGTCCAGCTCTTCGTTTAAATTAAGCCTTGGTTTTAGCCGCCAACTGCCCTTGGAAAACAGGTGTTTAACACAATGCTTAGAAAATGAATCGGTTTCATCAGTGATAGGAACATGCACCTCATTGTCGTGTCAGGGTAGGTGAAATTTGGAAGAATACGAATTCGCTTGGACAGTGGTCTTCTCATGGTTCTCTGATGATCTTCAATCTTACAGTAGTATGAGTAACAGGACAGCTGGAAAGGCCATTCTTTCACTAGCTGAATCTGTGAGGGCAGCGGAGTCTTTGAAAGTCGAAAAATGAAATTCTGTTGGAATTTATGAAAACTACGCCTCGCTCTTCTTTTTCTCCTCTTTCTCGTACTCATTTTCTCGCAGTGGACCATTTTGGTTTCGGCCGCTCCTGGCTTTCTTTTTCTCCTCATCTTTTTCAGCGTTTAGTAAATTTCTTGCTGAGGTTTGACGCCTAATGACTGAAGACTACCGGTTAACGGCGGGTTGAAAGGCAGGTGAGAGCAGTTATAAATCATGGTCAAAAATAGCGCTACTTAGCATTCGGTAATTTATTGGGATCATTCTCGATAAGAGTAATGTCTTGTTTTGGAAGTGTGATGCGAAACGGCTGCGTTTCCTCTTTGTTCGACATTTTCAGGTGAGACGTTTATTTCAGAGATGACGAATCGATCTTCCCCTCACGCAAAGCGAAAAAGTCGACGAATTTAAAATGCATCAGAGGTAGAAGAACGAGGTGAAACGACGTGTTCATGGGTGGAGGGGTAGGGAGGTATAATTCTACTAAGGCCAGCCAGGCCTGGGTTGGTTGTACAGTAGCACATGCTAATGAAGCGTTTCCTCGGATCAGTCGTAGACCTTTTTAGCGGTTGAGCAGAAATCGTATTTATCGGTGAGGGTGTGAGGAGGCCACCTCTCGCCCTCGTGTTCATAAACAGTTTCCAGGACCTGCATTAACAGCCTGTTTGTGCACTGTCATTATCGCATCGCCGGTTTTTCTCAACGAAGCGGTGAAAGCCAGGTCCGTCAGCGGAGTTTCACACACGCCCGGCTTTAAACGTGTAGCTGTGGCAAGGAAACGAAAAAACGACAAACAGTCGCTACGATAATCCGTCGATAGGTTCGTCAAGCTGGCGACAAACTTGTCAGTGTCACGCAGTGAGTGATTCACACCGAGTCGTCGTGCGGTTGCGGGTGCGCGGAACAGCGAAAGAAACTAAACGGTGTGACTGCAGACGCCCGACGCCTCTGTGAGGGCAGCTCCTCCACCTCCGGTTCGGCTGTGGCTCCCGAAGCAGCGAACGCAGGTCTCAGACATCCGGCGTCTTTCTGGCATTCGTCAACGAAAAACCGCTTGTAACTGACAGCCACAGGATTTGCTGGGCGTTTGGCCCCCTGCGCTGTTGGC